GTCGGCGCCGTTGCGACACCGACACCGCCGCTGACGTCACTGCATCAGCGCGACGCCGACGCCGTTACGACAGTGCGACGCCAGCACCGGCACGACACCCATACTACCGCCGCCGATGCGACAACTCGGCGCTGGCGCCGTTACGACACCGACGCCGCTGCCGTTACGACAGCTCGGCGACCCCGGGCGCCTCCGTAGCCCACGCAAGGCACGTAGATCTCTCTGAGCGTCGTGAAGCAGCTTCGGCTGATCACCAACTCCGGGCTGCCACTGCGAAAGTGCAGACTCTTCAGCTGCATCGCGAATATTGCCCTTACGCGAAGACACCAGCTGGCCGAGTCATTCCCAAGCTGCAGCTGCTTGAGATCGACTTCCACATGGCGAAGTTGGCTGTGATTGGCACGAAGGAGGGCCGTTCATGTTGTACGCGTGAGCGCAATGGCCTTCACTACCGCACGTTTGCTGCAGCAGCCGACTTCGACGGCAGCCGCGGGGTCCAAATCTGGATCGCTAGTACTTCTAAGATTCGCACTTTGCACTGGCATGCCGTGCCCTCGACTCTTCTGCATGCGGTCGCGGATCTCCCGAACCAGGCAGTTGCGATTCTCATCACAGGCCATGCCCCGCATCTGGGCGCGCCTGACGCTGCGAAGACCGAGTTTGGGAGTGCCTTCCATGCCACCGTGATCGCTCTCCGGCAGAAGTATCCCTATGCAGATTGGATTGGGATGTTGGACAACAACGGCAGGGTAGGTTCCGCGCAGCGCGATGCCATCGGCTAAGCTCGCCCTGAGCTCGAAAATACCAATGGCGCTCTCCCTCGCCACTTCGTGACTATGAGAGGCTTCTACCTCGTGAGCACTTTTGGCTCCGGATCTGGGCCCACGCGGCATTCGTCGACGCGCACGCGGTCGCGCATCGACTACCCGCTCACCTGCCGGACCCCGAAAGTGAGAGCCATCGATTGCGCAGTCTTGCACGACGTCGACCGCACCAAGAACTCGTCGCGTGACCACCACCCCGCAGCTGCCAGCTTCGCCGTCAGCCCTCCTACGGCACCAGATGGCGCAGCAAAGCCTCCGCGGCTCAGGATCAACGAGGCCTGTAGCTGTTCAAAGGTTCCAGGACGAGCTCCGGCAGTGCAAGCTTGACCCCGCTGCGCTTGGTGTTCTGTTATCATACATGCACGCGCGGGTCTGCAACCCCTCGCCCCTACTGCCGCTGCAGCAGCGTTTCCTGGGCGGCACGCTGCCTTTGCTCATCTTGGACCCCGTCGAAAGGATGGCACTCCCCAGGCTACACCGACGTCGTCTTTTTCCTGTGATCGGTCCCCTTGGCAGGTCCAGGGTGGCGGCGTGATGCGCTCTTCCAAGTTTGACAGCGTCAATGGTGGGAGGCTCAGCTGCAGGCGCGCATGCGCACGTTGCAGAAGCAGGCGCGCCCTCTCCTGGAGGCCGATCGCGTCGCCTATTTCGACAGCTTGGCTATGAAGGCAGACCGTGCGACGGCCGCCGACGACTCTCGCGCAGCTTTCGCTGTCGCCCACTCTCTGAGTGGCGCCTCTCACAAGCTCAACTCCTCAGTTTATAAACTTGATGGTACGCTGACGGCGTCGCCAGCTGAGACTGAAGCTCTACGGGTGGAGCACTACGCCCACGTCTTCCGCGGAGAGATCGCCGAGGACGCCGCCCTGGAGTCGAGGCCGGGCCCCGCGCCACCGAATGTCACCATCGACGCTGGCCCCGTCGAGACGTAGATTTGATTTGCCAAGCTCAAGAACAGTAAAAGGCGCCGGCTTGGATGACATACCCAGCGAGGTGCCGAAGGCTGTCGTCTCCCCAATAGCTGCTCTGGACATCAACGCCACTTGGCCAGTCTCCTGGCGGGGCGGATCCCTCACGAACGTCTACAAGAAGAAAGGCGATCCGCAGGTGTGCGACAACTCCCGATCCATTTTGGGTTCTGACCACGCTGGCAAGGCTCTGATTGGGCGCCTCAAGGAGATGTTCGACCCAATCCACGTAACTCGCATGCCTTCTTCGCAGCACGGCGCTGTCCAAGGCAAGGGCACTGACCTAGCATCGCACATGATTCGTTATGCTGCCTCCGCCGCCGTCATGCTTAACCTCTCAGTCTGCATCCTCTTTGTGGATCTCGTGAAGGCGTTCGACAAGTTGGTGCGGCAACTGGTGTACAGATGGAGCATTGCGCCCCCAGAGGACAAGCTGGCATTGTTTGAGCAGTCCGCCCGATTGATTCTCCGATACCTTGCCGAACGAGGGCACCTGGTTCAACAGTGGGGCGTGGACCCGAACGCCGCTGCGCTCGCCGAGTCCTTGCACAGAGACGCCTGGTTCAAGGTCAACGGCAGCCAAGTCTCCATCACGAGCATCATTGGGGGCCGCCAAGGTTGCAAACTTGGTGCCTTCACCTTCAATTGCGCGTACAGCATCGCCCTCGACCTTTTGAGCTGGGAACTCCACCAGGCCGGCGTTGCGTTCAACGTTCGCGTCCTCTCGGACGCGTTCTGGTCTACACCTGACGCGTCGAGTAATCATACTGCACCTGTTCTGGACGCTGTTTTCGTGGAAGATGAGGCCGTAGTCCTTCTGTCCAGCTCAGCGACGGCCCTCGACGTCGCCATTGAGGCTCTGCTGTCGACCTTGATTGCCGTATTACATAGTCTGCACATGGAGGTAAATTGGTCGCCTGGCAAAACCGAGGCGCTTCTAGCATTCCGCGGCAACGGCGCCGTGGCCGCCAGGGAGAAATGGCGGCAAGCAAATGGCACCTTAAAAACTCCAGTGCCCAATGGGTCTGGGAAGATGCTGCATGTAGTGCACACATACAAGCACCTGGGCACCGTGATGGCGGCGAATGCGGAGAAATATGCCAACGCGTCTTTGAGTGTTCAATCCGCGATGGAATCATACTCCCCTATTGCGTACAAGGTATACGGAAATCCGCACCTCTAAAAGCAGTACGAGAAGAGCTTCCTGCGAAGTCTCTTTATGTCGCGGTTGCTCTTGAATGTCCACATTACCGTCCCCAGCGCTCGCGAGACGGTGGCGTACAACACGTGCTACATGAGGCCTCTGAGTCGCATCGTTGGGGACATGCGGTCGAGCACACTGACTTGGACGTTCGGCGTATTCTCAACATGCCTTCCATCGAGTGCCCGATCGCCAGGGCGCGGCTTCTGCACACTCGCCGAATGCTGTTGCTGCGGCCTCATGCCCTGCTCGGTCTCTTACATTTGCGGCGTGGTGAGAAGCGTCACCCATGGGTGACTTGCCTAGCGCGGCCTTGCCCCAGACAACATTGACCATTTCTATGACGACCCGGAGGGCTGGCAACAGTTCATCCTTTCAGGCAGATGGGCCAATGCTGTTGACAAGCTGCATTTTCTGGAAAGCGTCACCGACCGCAAAAAAGGGTGCTGGGGGCAGTGCCTCTTCTAGACAGCTTGCTTTTGCGTGTTCTCGTTGCGGTTGCACCTTCGCGTCGCAGCGAGCTTAAGAGTCTCACGCGAGGGACAAGCACGGTGATCGCCTCCTCATTAAGCAGTATGTGCGCGGCACTTCCTGCCCGTGCTGCGGCACTGATTTTCGTGAGAGGTTGCGGCTCATCGCCCACCTGTCCGATCGCAGGCGCCCACAGTGCGCCAGCTGGGTCATGGCGCACTGCACGCCGATGTCGAGCCGACAGCTACAGGAGCTTGATGAGCGCCGACCGCGCCGCCAGAACTGCCGCGCAGAGGTCCGGCCTCTCGCCCAAGAGCTCGTCTCCCAGCGAGGCGTGCTGATGGGCGAGTCGTGGGGCACACGCAGGCCTAAGATGGGCTCCGGTGCTTCCTCATGAGTGATCACATGCCTGGAGACTACAATCTCCCTGCAAATAACATATATATATATATATACATACACATATACATATACATATACATATACATATACATATACATATACATATACATATACATATACATATACAGATACAGATACAGATACAAATACATATACATATACATATATATAGATGTTCACACACGTGTGTGTATATGTATGAGTACATATATATATATATAAAAATACACATGCATACACATATACGTGCACAAATATATGCATGGAACGTGTCATTATTACTACTCAGACTATCATTAATGGTCCTATGTATCGTAGCACTTCGTGATTAGAGGAGCATTAAGGAGAATACTGAAAATAAGCTATAGCAGCAGCTATTGTACGAATAATATTAAGAAACAATATCATGTGTACTAGAAGAATGCCATCAAACATAACCATAATACGGGGAATGAAATTAGAAATAATGATCACAGTAATGCTAGAGAAAGATGAATCGTAATGAAAGTTACAGTAATACGCATTAATGTGAGAACAACAACAGCAACCACCAGACTAAAGATGAACATTCATATATATATATATATATATATATATATATATATATAGTAGCAACCAGAAAAGCATTACTCAGAATCAGAGCAACAAGAATAAGGACGAATAAAAACAATAACCAGACCACATAAGAATCATAAGAGGAAGCGAATGCCTGGGCTGGGTCGCCCGGGCCAGAGCCCGAGGGCTGCGACACAGCTGTCCACGTCGAGGGCCCGGGGCCGCCGCACCGCCGCTGGTCAAGGACCGGTGCGCGCGTGAGCGCTGGTGTCCAGTTGTGGATCCCCGGGCCTCCTCGCGCCGTGCGCAGAGAATGACGGCGGGAGGCTCTTCGCGATTTTCGGCCTCCAGGGGCCCTCATTGGGCCTCGGGACCGTCGGAAAACGACTCGGGACGGAAAAACTGGTCCTCGGGAAGGGGTCCAGACCTCTGGGGGTCGACGTTGCGAAAAAATCACGACGTCGGAGGTCTGTGTCCACGTGTGGATCCCTGCCCCATCTTCTGAGTGGCCGGCCGCGCGCGCTCTCTTCCTGCTCCTGGGGCCGACTGCCTCCGTCTCGTCGCTGCGCGCGAGGCCGCGTCGCCAGAAGTGAGTGTGTGCGTGCCCCTGAAGCTTGCTGCCACCCGCCTGCCCGCTGGGCCTTACCACCACGTCGCCGCGCAAGCGCGCGGTCGCCGAGGAAGAGAAAGTGTGTGCCTCCCTGGCCAGGCCAGGACGGCGCATGCACCGACCCCAGGGGACCAGGATGGGCCTGGCCCGGATCGGCGAGGTGGCCCGCCGACGCCCCCCGACCTGCAGAAAGAACTTGCACGTCGCGCCGCTGCCCAGGGCCAGTTCCCTCTGCGGCGGCTGACCCGCGGGGGCGCTGGGGATGCTCCGGCCTGCGTCCTGCGCCACGGCCGCGGCGGCCGGGACCGGTTGGCCCAGCTCCTCGGGGCTGTGCGCGAAGCCGCACTGGCTGCCCCTGGAGCAGCCGCCCTGCTCGAAGAACCTTCGGCAGCACGCAATAGTCACCACTTTGCGACCGACGCTCCACCTCCTCCTCCTCCTCCTCCTCCTCCTCCTCCTCCTCCTCCTCCTCCTCCTCCTCCTCCTCCTCCTCCTCCTCCTCCACGCATATCTTGGATGACTCGGGGCGCCAATGTGTGAGATGCAAAGGGTCCGCGTCGAAAAAATGTCTCGCTGATTGGTTGAAGTCTCCGTGTTTTGAGCTGCAGTCTGTAGACGGTGTTGTTTCAAGAATACCCTCGGGGTGTAAAGTCCATAGGGCGGGGGGGTGGCTGCATTCGACTCACAATCTCAGGTTTCACACTAGCTTGAAACTCTGGTTTTGCGGAGTGTGCGGATATTATGCCTCTGACCAAATCCGAGGGCTTGCATCCGAGTATACTTATAGAACCAACAAGCCCCGACAAGATTATTTAAACAGGATCGAGGATGGGCTCTGGCCAAAGCTTCTGTCGTTGTCGGAGCAACGAGCCAGAGGCCTCATCCCTCCTTAATTAATCCCTTTTCGCTTCGCGATTTGACCATTCCCATTCCCATTCCCATTCCCATTCCTCCTCCTCCTCCTCCTCCTCCTCCTCCTCCTCCTCCTCCTCCTCCTCCACTCCTCCTTCTTCTCCTCCAACTTCTCCTCC